GCATATAAATTCTGTGGTTTATCTCTTCCCCACCACCCCTTCTTCTGGGGATTGTCAGTCTGTACCCCACTTCCACATCTCTGGGACTACCCCATTCCTCGGACTGTTATGTTCATTATATTCCACAAATAAGTAAGATCATATGATACTTGGCTTGTTTCGCTTAGGATAATACTTTCCAGGTCCCTCCATGTCGTCTCAAAGGATAAGAGATCTTTCTTTCTTACAGCTGCATAGTACTCCATTGTGTATATGTACCACAGCTTTTTTATCCATTCGTCTACTGATGGACATTTGTGCTGTTTCCAGATCGTAGCTATTGTAAATAGTGCTGCTACGAACACGGGGGTACATATATTCTTTCTGATTGGTGTTTCAGGCTTCTTAGGGTATATTCCTAGAAGTGGGATCACTGGGTCAAATGGCAGTTCAGTTATTAATTTTTTTGAGGAAGCACCATATTGTCTTCCATAGTGGCTGCACCAGGCTGCATTCCCACCAGCAGTATACTAGAGTCCCCTTTTCTCGACCCTCGCCACCACTTGTTGTTTGATGATTTGTTGATGGCGGCCATTCTGACAGGTGTGAGGTGATACCTCATGGTTGTTTTAATTTGCATCTCTCTGATGATTAGGGATGTTGAGCATTTCTTCATATGTCTCTTAGCCATTTGTATGTCCTGTTTGGAGAGGTATCTATTTAGTTCCTCTGCCCATTTTTAATTGGGTTCTTTGTCTTCCTTTTATTGAGTTGTATGAGCACTCTATATATATTGGAAATTAACCCCTTATCTGATATATCATTGGCAATTATGCTCTCCCATACAGTGGGTTGCCTTTCCATTTTGATGATTGTATCTTTTGCTGTGCAGAAGCTTTTGAGTTTGATGGAGTCCCATGTGTTCATTTTCTCCTTTGTTTCTGTTGCCTTAGGTGACGTATCAGTGAAAATTCTGCTGCGTATGATGTCTGAAATTTTGTTGCCTACAGTTTCTTCTAGGATTTTTATGGATTCATGAGTCACATTTGAGTCTTTTATCCTTTTTGAGTTTATTCTTGTGGTGATTTTATTTCTTAAAGTGTTTTTGTGTGTGTGTGTGAAATAGAGCACAGAAACCAAGTAGTGCATTCAACATACATGTACAATTTAATTAATTACTATAAACTGAACACCCAGGTAACCCCTCTTCATGTTAAGAAATAGAAAATTGTTAGCACTCCAGAAGTATGTTCTTTCCCAGTCCCTCTGCCTTATTTTCCATGGTCTTCTCTTACCCCAAGCATAAATATTACCTAGCTTTTTATAGTAATTATTTCCTTGCTTTTGCCATTTCAGAACACATTCCAGAACACTATGGTTAATTTTCTTTACTTTGAATTTTATATCAGTGGAATAATATATGTTCTTTTGTCTGACCTTTTTATATACTAAAGTATAATTGACATACAACATACTAGTTACAGGTGTACAACACAATTCAATATTTGTATGTATTGCAAAATGATCACCATAATAAGTTAGTGACATCCATTATCATGCATAGTTAAAAAAATTTTTTTTCTTATGAGTACTTGTAAGATTTACTCTTAGTTAAAAAAAAATTTACTCTCAGTAATTCTCAAATACAGTATTATTGACTATAGTCATCATGCTGTATGATATGTCCCCATGATTTATTTATTTTATAACTAGAAGTTTGTAATTGTTGACCCCCTTAACTCATTTTGCCCATTTCCCCAACCCCCGATCCCTGGCGACTGTCGGTTTTTTGTTTGTTTGTTTGTTTGTTTGTTACATGCCCCCAGTGGGAACCGAACCTGGGACTCTGGTCTGCAGGCTGACGCTCCAACTGCTGAGCCAGACTGGCCAGGGCCATTGGTTTGTTTTCTGTATCTGTGAGCTTGTTTTTTTTTCTCTTTTTCTTTTTCTTTTCTATTTTAATAGTTTCCACATGTAAGTATGGTATTTGTCTTTTTCTGTCTGACTTAATACAAAGAATTGCAAAGGATCTTGTCAGAGCTTAATGGTGAACGAACCATGTGTAAGTTCTGAGAAACAAAGGAGAGGAAACTCTTTTATAGAGGAGAAGAGGAAGGTGGCAGAGCTGTTACAACAAACAAAGAGTTCTTCCTGTTAGGCTTCATGATCAATGTAGGTCATGAGAGTTTCCCTTTGTGGCCTCCCAACTTGATTTTAAATAAGTTTCTTTTTATTAATTTTTATACTAGATTTGGTCCATGGATCATACTTGCTGACCCTGATACTTTCATTGCTATATGGTATTTCAGTAAATATTATCATTTTTTATTTATCCATTTTACCATTGATAGACATTTGGGTTGATTTGCAGTTTTGCCTAGTGAAAACAATTCTGCTCTAAACATTCTTATCTATGTCTTTTGTTGCACATGTACAGAAAAGGAATTGCTAGGTTATAGGGTATGTATGTAATTTCAAAACTATTTTTCAGAGTGATTGAATCAGTTGTAGGGGAGGAGAAATAATTTTCCTTCTACTCATCTTGGCTGAGATAGTCCCTGTAGTTAAAAATGGATTAACAAGAGAAAAACAGTTTAATAATATGTATACCTCCTGTATACATGGGAGATATCCAGAAAAACTGAGTAAAATTCTCCCCAGAATGGTCCAAGCCATCACCTTAAGTACCATCTTCAGCTAAAGAAGGATGTTTGGGGAGTGAGGGCAGTTATATGAGGTTAATGTTTGTATTTGAGGGGATGATGGCAATCCAAATTTGTTGGGCTCAAAATTTTGTATAGACTTTTTAGAAAAAACTCAGTCATTTTACTCATATCTTCAGAAATCATATTTATAATTTGTTTGATCTATTACTTATGGGAAAGAGATATGAAGCTCCTCTTAATATGTTTTTTTGTATTTCTTATACTTTTATCTATTTTGCTATGTAAATTTCAAAGCAATGTAGTCACTTAATATTTTATAATTCTAACATTTTATTGAAAATTTGTTCTATTTACTAATATAAAATGTTCCTTTTTGATGCTGTTTGCCTGAAACTTTTGTCCATTAAAAATATTGCTATGTATTGAACCCCACCCCCACTTGTATTTTTTGTGTAGTATCATTTCTGTAACCCTCTGCCTTCAACCTTGTGCTTTTATTTCTTTTTAAGTATATTTCTTATTAGTATAGTATATAGCTGGATTTTTAAAAATTTTAGTCAGAAAAATCTTTATTTTCAAAAAAATTTTAATCCTCACCTGAGGATATTTTTCCATTTATCTTCAGATAGAGCGGGAGGGAAAGAGGGGAGGGAGGGAGAGAGAGAGAGAAACATCAATGTGAGAGAAACACGTCAATTGGTTGTTTCCCGCACCACCCCGACCAGGGCCGGGGACTGAACCACACCCGAAGTACGTGCCCTTGACCGGAATCAAACCCGAGACTGGTCTGTGGGCCGATGCTTTCTAACTGCTGAGCCAAACTGGCCAGGACAGAAAAATCTCTATTTAATAGATGAATTCAATATTTACAGGGATTATTGATATGTTTGCATGTATTTCTACCACTGAAAACAGCAACAGAGAAAACCTCAGTCAAGTGGTTGCCAAGAAAGAAGAAACAGGAATGTAGTAAAATTAAAATTGAGGTTCAAAGTAATCCTTTCTCAATCAACATTGAAGAAGTTTCATTTTATTTTAAATTGATCAAAAACTGTTTTTTCTAATTCTCATCCCTTTGTAAGTAAACTGTCTTTTCACTCTTTTTTTTTCTTTTGAGATTTTCCTTTTATCCTTAATATCGTAAAGCTTTGCTATTATTTGATTAGGAATGGGCTTTTTTTGTTTTGTTATAGTCATTTTTTTTATTGTGTTCTTTCAGTCTAAGGACTTATTTATTTTCTATATGTTATTCATTTCATTACTGATTATTTAATTATTGCTCCTATTCCATTCTCTTTACTCCCTAATTCTGAAACCCCTAATAGACGTATGTTGGAACTTTGGATCTAGCTTTCATAATATACCTTTTCTTTCATTCATCCCATCTCTTTGTGCATCAGTCTAGTGGAATCCTCAAGTTGTATTTCTAGTGTACTAATTTAGTCTTAAGCTGTGTTCAGTCACTAATTAGCTATCCATTTAATTTAATTTTGGATTTTGTTGTTGTTTGTTTATTAATTTCAGCAATCACATTCTTTTTACCTAAAAACTTTGCCATACACGGGGTAATAAGGCATCAGCTCTTATTTACCACTATGGAATCCTGTCTAATTTTTTCATAGATATACTTCCTTGTTTTCAGTATGTGGAGGTGGTGTTCTTTTTTGTTTTTAAGATCAGAATTCTACTTACTAGTATTTTTATAACGTTTCTATGTAATGACATAATATAGGGTGGTGGCTAATGGCATGGACCTCTGGAAGCAGAGGGCCAAGGTTCAGAGCCAAGTTCTGCCTCTTTGACAAATTCAAACTCCCTGTGTACTATTATCTTTAGTTGTGATCATAATAATAATACCAGGTTTTAGTGTGGATTAAAAAAGGTAATATATGTCAAAACACCTAGCACATAACAATTACTCAGTAAATATCAGCTGCTGTTAGTAGTACATATTATCATTATACTATTGGTTGGATGGATGGTGGAGATTTTGCCATATGTCTGTAATCTACCACACCATCCTAGCTATATCTTACATAACTTTTTTATTTGTTAATCCTCACCCAAGGATATTTTTTCCATTGAGTTAGAGAGAGTGGAAGGCCAGGAAGGGGGTTAGGGGAGAGAAACATTGATGAGAGGCATATTAATTGGTTGCCTCCCGAACGTGCCCCGACTAGGCAGGGATCAAACCTGCAACCCAGGTACTTGCCCTTGACCAGGAATCGAACCCTTTGGTGCGCAGGCCGACGCTCTAACCACTGAGAACCACTGACTAGGGCCCTTGTATAAGTTTAAATTGAAAATTAAATCCTACAGACTTAAATAATATATGGCTCCTCTTTCTTTTTACAGATCGATCCTGAATTAGAAAAAAAACTGAAAATGAATAAAGTGTCACTGGAATCAGAGTATGAGGTACAGTATGTTAATATAGTCCCTCTTTTGTAATAATCCTCCTTGTCAGTGACTAGTTCTGTCTGCCTTAAAGTAAACTTAAATTATTAAGGTAAACATGTGGTATTGGGGCAACTATGTAGTCATATGGAAAGAAAACAAAGATATTTCATATGCTATAAATGAATAAATTCTAGAGAGATCTAAATAAAAAAAAAAATGCTAAAAGTACTAGGAGAAAAAGTAAGGACATTCTTTTTTTGTGATCTTGAGTCAGAAGAGTCTATTTAAAATAATGTGATACCAATCTCAGAAGCTTTAAAAGTAAAGATTGATGGATTTGTACTTAAAAATTCAAGTTCAGACTAAAAAAAAAAAATAATGTATATAATGTCACTAGTTAAGTGAGAAATCCTAAAAAAATTGTTTATCTTATTATGATGTAGTTTATTGAAATATGAAGAGCATCCACAAATCAGTATGGAAAAGTTCAACCATTCATTTGGTCAGTAGGAACATGGGGAAAGCATTTAAAGAGTTCAGAGGATGGGAAATCTTTTTTAAACATATGAAGAAATACTCAACTTATAATAGCAATGTTAGTTAAAATTATAATGAATTGTCATTTTCTACCTATTTGATTAGCAAAAATCAAAGATTTAATAAATAACACATTATAGAATGTGTGAGGGAGGGTGTTCCTCTATCTTTTAATTTGTTCATTTTTTTTGGCTGTGGATTATACAGGGGTTGGCAAAATTAGGTTTACAGTTGTGAGTACATGAAACAGTTTATTCTTCTATTATTTATTTATTTAATTTATTTTTTTAAAATCCCCACTTGAGGATATTTTTCCATTTATTTTTCTGATAGAGTGGGAGGGAGGGATAGGGAGAGAGGGAGGGAAACATTGATGTGAGAGAGAGATATCAATTGGCTGCCTCCCGCATGACTGTGACCAGGGCTGGGGACAAACCACAACCGAGGTACGTGCCCTTGACTAGAATCTAACCTGCAACTCTTTGGTCCACAGGCCAATGCTCTAACTGCTGAACCTAACTGGCCAGGGCTAGTCTTCTATTATTTATTTAAAGCTACTTTTGCTCACCCCTGTAATTTTTCGTTTGTGTGTTTGGTCATTTTTTATTGAAAGGTGGACATTGTGACTAATACATTGAAGAGATTTGAACTCTTAGCAGGCAGTTCAATAATTTGCTGATCATTTTGAACTTGGTTTTGTGTTGTTTTTTTTTTTATCCTCACCTGAGGACATTTTTCCATTTTTTGTTCAGATAGAGTGGGAGGGAGAGAGAGGAAGAGAAAGAGAGAGAGAAGCATCAACATGAAAGGGACACATCGAGTGGCTAACACCCACACAACCCAACCAGGGCCGGGGACAAACTGCAACCGAGGTACGCGCCCTTAGTGGGAACCGAACTGCAGGCCGACGCTCTAACTGCTGAGCCAAAGTGGCCAGTGCTTGGTTTTGTGTTTTATAAGGAAGAACTGGAAAGGCTTTGGTGTTTCCTAAATCCCTGTTTGTAGGTCTCATTCTTCAAATTGTCTCCCCAGGGGATCTAGTCAGAGCTTAGTTTTAAGCTTTGTTGGGTGAGTCTAAAGTAGGTCTTCCTCTTGGCATAATTCTTACTCCTAAAGAGCAGCCTTTTTGGTGTCTCAGCCGGATGTTAAGGTAGCAACTATTAAGTCCACTCTGACAAGGGCTGAAAATTCAGTACTGATACTGCCTTTCCTTAGCAGTTCCTGATTCTGTTCCACAATCAATTCTATAGTAATTGGCTGTTAACTAGTGAGCCTTAGGTGGTCTCGCCCAGTACACATATAGCCCAGTCTTCAGTGACTTATGTGTGTTTTGTAGAATTCTACAGGGAATCTTTTATTCACCAAAGATATCTAAAGACTGGAACACTTTTACATGAAGTTGTTCTGCCAACTTTGCATCCCATTTAAGACTTATTCTTATGCTGAAAAAGCATTTGACAAAATCCAGCACCCATTTTTGATAAAAACTCTCAGCCAAGTGGAAATAGAGGGATCAGACCTCAACACAATAAAGGCCATATATGACAAACCTACAGCCAACATCATACTCAGTGAGCAAAACTAAAAGCATCTCCCTTAAGAACAGGAACAAGACAGAGATGTCCACTTTCACCACTCTTATTCAACATAGTATTGGAAGTCTTAGCCACAGTGATCAGACAAGAAGAAAAAATAAAAGGGATCCAAATTGGAAAGGAGGAAGTGAAATTGTCATTATTCACATATGACATGATGTTGTGCATGGAAAACCCTAAAGACTCCACACAAAAAAAACCAACTAGATTTAATAAACGAATTTGGAAAAGTAGCAGGATACAAAATTAACATCCAGAAATCAATAGCATTTTTATACATCAATACACCAATAATGAACACCCAGAAAGAGAAACTAAAAAAACAGTCCTGCCTGGCCAGTGTGTCTCAGTGGTTGAGCATTGACTCATGCACCAAGAAGTCACCAGTTTGATTCCCGGTAGGGCACATGCCCAGGTTGTGGGCCAAATCCCCAGTGGAGGGCATACAGGAGGCGGCCAGTTGATATTCTCTCTCATTGATGTTTCCATCTCTCTCTAAAATCAATAAAGAAAAAAAAAACCAATTCCATTTACCATTGCAACAAATAAATTAAGATACCTAGGAATAAAGTTGACCAAGGAGTTAAAAGACCTATTCTCAGAAAACTATAGGATATTGAAAAAAGAAATAGAGGAAGATATGAAAAAGTGGAAGTACATACCATGTTCAGGGATTGAAAAAATCAACCATTAAAACGTCCATACTACCCAAAGCATTATCCAGATCTAATGTAATCCTTATTAAAGTATGAATGGCATATTTCATAGATCTAGAACAAATAGTCCAAAAGTTTATATGGAACCCAAAAAGACCCTGAATAGCCACAGCAGTCTGGACAAAGAAGAACAAAGTTGAAGTGATCACACTACCTGATATCAGGTTATGTTACAAAGCTACTGTAATCAAAACAGCCTGGTACTGGCACAGGAACAGGCATATAGATCAATGAACAGAACAGAGAACCCAGAAATGGGCCCAAGACATTATTCTCAATTAATATTTGAGAAAGGAGGCAAGAGCATACAGTGGAATAAGGACAGTCTTTTTATTAAATGGTGTTGGGAAAATGGGACAGGTACATGCAAAAATAATGAGACTAGACTACCAATTTATACCATACACAAGAATAAACTCAAAATGGATAAAAGGTCTGAATGTAAGTCATGAATCCATAAAAATTCTAGAAGAAAATGTAGGCAACAAAATCTCAGACATAGCAGAATTTTCACCAATACACCTAAGGCAAGAGAAACAAAGGAAAAAATGAATACATGGGACTACATCAAAGGACTACATCTTTTGCACAGCAAAAGAACCTAGCATGAAAATGAAAAAGGAACCCACTGTATGAGGGATCATATTTGCCAATGATACATTGGATAAGGGGTTAATTTCCAAAATATGTAAAGTACCCATACAACTCAACAAAAGGAAGACAATCCAATTAAAAAATGGACAGAGGACTTGAATAGATACTTCTCCAAAGAGGACAAACAAATGGCCAAGAGACATGAAAAAAATGCTCCATTTCACTAATCATCAGAGAGATACAAATTAAAACAACTATGAGGTATCACCTCACCCTGCCAGAATGGCTGTCATCAACAAATCATCAAACAAATGCTGGGAAGGATGTGGAGAAAAGGGGACTCTAGTATACTGCTGGGGGCAGTGCAGACTGATGCAGCCACTATGGAAAACAATATGGTGTTTACTCAAAAAATTAAAAATGGAACTGCCTTTTCACCTAGTGATCCCACTTCTAGGAATATATCCTAAAAAGCCCAAAACATTAATCAGAAAGAATATATGCGCTTCTATGTTCATAGCAGCGCTATTTACAATAGCTAAGATCTGGGAACAGCCCAAGTGTCCATCAATAGATGAGTGGATAAGAAAGCTGTGGTACATATACACAATGGAGTACTATGCATCTGTAAGAAAGAAAGAACTCTTGCCCTTTGAGAAGACAGGGAAGGACCTGGAGAGTATTGTGTTAAGCAAAATAAGCCAGTCAGAGAAAAACATATATCACATGATCTTACTTATTTGTGGAATATAAGGAACAAAATAAGGAGATGAACAAAGTAGATCCAGAAACATGTAAGTAGGGAAGAGACTGTCAAACCTCAGAGGGAAGCGGGTGGGGAGGTGGGAAGAAATAAACCAAAGAACTTACCCATATATGCATAACCAGCGGACACAGACAACAGTGTGGTGAAGACAGGGAGGGGATGGGAGCAAGGAAGAGAGTGTCAAGGGGGAAAAAAGGAGGGACATTTGGAATACTTTTAACAATAAAGATAAAAAAATAATAATACAAGAAAACTTTGTATCATTATGAACAATAAAAAATAATTATTGCCCAGCTGGTGTGGCTCAGTGGAAGTTATTCTTAAATTCTTGAGCATATATGTCCTACGTTATCTGGGTGAAGGCCATTATTCTTTCTTAAAACCTTTTTATGACTTTGGATCATTTCATAACTATACTTGAAAATAATTTTTCTTACACATTAAATTAATAAAACTTTGTTCATCCATATGTATTTAATATGAACTCTTGGTAAAACAATAAGTGAAATTTAGAGAATGATTTCATTTACTACTTTACCCATTATTTTGTTAAAACCGGTAACTTTGGCTGAGCGGTTAGAGCATCAGCCTGTAGACCAAATAGTTGCGGGTAAGATTCCGGTCAAGGGCATGTACCTTGGTTGTGGGTGGGTCCCCTGCCCTGGTCGGGGTCCTGCGGGAGGCAACCAATTGATGTCTTTCTCACATCAATGTTTCTCTCTCTCCCTCCCACTCTATCTGAAGATAAATGGAAAAATATCTTCGGGTGAGGATTTAAAAAAAACAACCACCTGTGACTTGCTACTTCTCAATATATAAGTACTATGTCAGTAGTGATGCTGTGGAAGGTTTTTCTTGGAATAGATTTTAGTTTTTTCAGCAACCATAGAATTTGATAACAGTAAAAACCATGTAGACCATTTGGTCCAGCCTTTTTATTATTACTTATGAGGGAATTAGTGCCCAGATGGCTTCAGTTACTTGTCCAAGGTTATACTCATTAGTAAAAGAGTAAGGGTTAGTATCCAAGTGTCAAGGTAAACTTTATATTATTCCCTGTCTCTGGATATAAACTGTCCTGTGTTCTCTGAACCTGCTTTTCTTTTCTTTTCTTTCTTTCTTCTTCTTCTTTTTTTTTTTTTTTTGTTAATCCTCACCTGAGGATATTTCTCCATTGATTTTTAGATAGAGTGGAAGGGAGTCGGGGGGGGGGGGGGGAGAGAAAAACATTGATGTGAGAGATACATTGACTGGTTGCCTCCCGAATGACCCCAACCAGGGCCGGGTATCAAACCTGCAACCCAGGTACGTGCCCTTGACTTGGATTTGAACCTGAGACCTTTCAGTCTGTGGGCTGACACTCTAACCACTAAGAAAACTGTCAAGGGCTGTCTTTTCATTGTTAAGCCTGGGCTCAGTTCTCAGGTACAGGACAAATCATCTTGGTCTGTTTTTTTCTCCCGTTCTAGCAGACTTTATGGTCTCCACCTTTGTTTTTTTCCTCTCATTTACTGTTATCATTCATGCTAACCCATGCCAGTCATTATGCTGGATCAGCCTTCAGAGTCGGACTTTTGTTTTCTTAGCTTCTTCCCTTTCTTTGTGTTCTCAGAAACAAAGCATGTAGACTCTTTGTTTTTATTTTAATAGTTTTATTGTGATGAGAGAAAAGGTAGGCATTTACATCAATAGCAAGCAAGAAAAATTCCAAATCCTAAGAAATATGTCACTTCTTCAGTTATTTTGCTTGACATGCAGTGATTTATTTCCTAAAATTATAATTGAGGGCTTATTGGATTATTTGCACTTATTCAGTGATGTCCTAATCAAATCCACAGGACTCCTGTACTAATATATATATACACTTTTTTGCGGCTTTATAGAAAATAAAGGATTCCACTTTTGATGACTGGAAGAATATTCGAGGACCCAGGCCTTGGGAAGATCCTGACCTCCTTCAAGGACAAAATCCAGAAATCCTGAACACTAAGACAGCTTGACTGTGCCGATTCTTTTTTTTTTTTTTTTTTAATGTTATCAACTAAATTCCCACTATAGACTCCTATCCTGGGGAAGGAAAATTCCAGATCTGCAAAAGCCTGGATGTGAGTAATTTGATGACAGATAATCTTGATTTAAAAATCAACCACAGTTTTTTTGCTTCCCAAATCTGCCATTGCAAATGGAAGTAAGTGTTGACCACAAATAGTTTATACCACTCAATAAAAATGTGAACATGCTACTTAAAGATTGTCATTTTTTCAGCTCCCCAATACATACCCATATTCATTTTCCACCAGCCACTGGGCAACATTTTGATAACTTCAATCTGATTTCTAATGAGAATAGTAGGTTTGGATCCAAATTCCCATAGTAATATGAAGCAGTGATTTTATGTCAAACCTATTGAGAAAAAGTGATATTGACCACAGTCTGATAAGAATTTTGTTTTTATTTATAGTACTTAACATGGTATGCTAATCAGTCTTCAAAGCATCACTTACTGATTGTATTAATACCATTGAAGCATATAAAGAAAACGATATTGTTTCTGGTTAAAACAAAAGTCATGAAGTATAACCTATTATATGTGTGACAAATTTGTTCAGATAATCCACAGATGACTACAGTTTGGGAAACATTGATTTAAAGTATGCATTATGCTTTAACATGATTAAATGTGAATTGGCTGTAGTTTTTTTTTAACTTGGTGTTTGGTATGATCTATTTTATTTTTATTTTATTTTATTATTGATTTTGAGAGAGAGAAAGAAAAAAACATTGATTTGTTCCATTTATTTATGTATTCATTGGTTGCTTTCTTTCTTTTTTTTTTTTTTTTTACAGATTTTGTTTTAATTGATTTTTTTAGAGAGAGGAAGGGAGAGGGAGAGAGAAAGAAACATCAGCTGCATCCTGTACGCCCTCCTGGATCAAGCATGTCACCTGGCATGTGCCCTGACCAGGAATCCAACTGGCAACCTTTTGGTGCACAGGATGACACCCAACCAACCGAACCACATCAGCCAGGGCTATTGGTTGCTTCTTGTATGTGTCCCGACCAGGGGTTGAACCCGCAACCTTAGTATATTGGGACAATGCTGTAATCAACCGAGCTACCTGGCGAGGGCCAGCATTTGCTATGATCTAAAAGATAGAATTGAAGAAAGATAGTTTTTTGTCCTTAGTTTCTTCTTTTCAGCCTTGTTCCCCTACCTTAACTGCCAAAAAAATTATAAATTCACCTGCTTCTTCCCCAATAAAAATTCCTGTTTTCAGTGGGTGAGAATTAACAAAAAACAAAGCAAGCTTATTATCTAGTGATAATTTGTGACAGAAATGACTCATAAGACTTAGTTATCTGAGGAAGCAGTGTGGTTCCATTGGCAAAACAAAACAAAGCCTCTACTTAACCTTCACTTCTTGTATAAAAACTAACTAAAAATGTATCAGATTTAAATTTACAACATAAAACTTTTAGGGAAAAAAAACAAAGTTTTTAGGATCTAGTGTATAGTTCTTACCAAAAAAGTCATAAAATTTTTTTATTAATTTAAATTTGTTGTAGATGTTTCTCCTTTTTCCCCATTGACACCCTCCTCCCTATCCTGCCCTCCCCCCCCCAGCATTGTTGTCTATGCCCATTGGTTATGCGTACATGCATATAAGTTCTGTGGTTTATCTCTTCCCTCCCCGTTACCCTCTCCTCTGAGGTTTGTCAGTCTGTACCCTACTTCTATGTCTCTGGGTCTGTTTTCTTCATCAGCTTGTTTTGTTCATTATATTCCACAAATAAGTGAGATCATGTGATATTTTTCTTTCTCTGATTGGCTTGTTTCACTTAGGATAATACTCTCCAGTTCCCTCTATGTCATCTCAAAGGATAAGAGATCTTTCTTTCTTACAGATGCATAGTGCTCCATTGTGTATATGTGCCACAGCTTTTTTTTTTTTTTTTTTATAGATGAAGTATCCTTTTTTTTTTTTTTTTAATTAATTTATTTATTTTTGTTACAGATGTCTCCTTTTCCCCCCAGTGATTCCCCCCTCCCCATCCCCAGCTTTGTTGTCCATGTTCATTGTTCATGCACCATCCCTCTTCTGGGCATTGTCAGTCTATACCCGACTTCCACATCTCTGGAACTACCTGATTCCTCAGACTTGTGTTCATTATATTCCACAAATAAGTGAGATCATATGATACTTGTCTTTCTCTGTTTGGCTTGTTTCGCTTAGGATAATACTTTCCAGGTCCCTCCATGTCGTCTCAAAGGATAAGAGATCTTTTTTTCTTACAGCTGCATAGTACTCCATTGTGTATATGTACCACAGCTTTTTTATCCATTCGTCTACTGATTGACATTTGTGCTGTTTCCAGATCGTAGCTATTGTAAATAGTGCTGCTACGAACACGGGGGTACATATATTCTTTCTGATTGGTGTTTCAGGCTTCTTAGGGTATATTTCTAGAAGTGGGATCAGTGGGTCAAATGGCAGTTCAATTATTAATTTTTTTGAGGAAGCACCATATTGTCTTCCACAGTGGCTGCACCAGTCCGCATTTCCACCAGCAGTGCACAAGAGTCCCCTTTTCTCCACCCTCGCTACCACTTGTTGTTTGATGATTTGTTGATGGCGGCCATTCTGACAGGTGTGAGGTGATACCTCATGGTTGTTTTAATTTGCATCTCTCTGATGATTAGGGATGTTGAGCATTTCTTCATATGTCTCTTAGCCATTTGTATGTCCTGTTTGGAGAGGTGTCTATTTAGTTCCTCTGCCCATTTTTAATTGGGTTCTTTGTCTTCCTTTTGTTGAGTTGTATGAGCACTCTATATATATTGGAAATTAACCCCTTATCTGATATATCATTGGCAATTATGCTCTCCCATACAGTGGGTTGCCTTTCCATTTTGATGATTGTATCTTTTGCTGTGCAGAAGCTTTTGAGTTTGATGGAGTCCCATGTGTTCATTTTCTCCTTTGTTTCTGTTGCCTTAGGTGATGTGTCAGTGAAAATTCTGTTGCGTATGATGTCTGAAATTTTGTTGCCTACAGTTTCTTCTAGGATTTTTATGGATTCATGAGTCACATTTAAGTCTTTTATTCATTTTGAGTTTATTCTTGTGTAGGCTGTAAGTTGATGGTTTAGTTTCGTTTTTTATGCATGTAGCTGTCCAATTTTCCCAACACCATTTATTAAACAGGCTGTCTTTACTCCACTCTATGTTCTTGCCACCTTTGTCAAATATTAATTGAGCATATTGCCTTGGGTCCATTTCTGGGTTCTCTGTTCTGTTCACTGGACTATATGTCTGTTCTTGTGCCAGTACCAGGCTGTTTTGATTACAGTGGCTGTGTAGTATAACCTGAAATCTGGTAATGTGATCCCTCCTACTTTGTTCTTTTTTTTTTTTTTCAAGATTGCTGTGGCTATTTGAGGTCTTTTTTGGTTCTATATGAACTTTTGAAGTATTTGTTCTAGTTCTGTGAAGTATGTCATTGCTATTTTGATGGGGATTGCATTGAATCTATAGGTTGCTTTGGGTAGTATGGACATTTTAATGATGTTGATTCTTCCAGTCCATGAACAAGATATGTGCTTCTACTTTTTTATATCTTCCTCTATTTCTTTTTTTTCAATGACCTGTAGTTTTCTGCGAGTAGGTCCTTTATTTCTTTGGTTTAGTTTATTTCTAGGTGTCTTAATTTGTTTTGCCACAATGGTAAATAGGATTGTTTTCTTAGTTTCTCTTTCTGTGAGTTCATCATTGGTGTATAAGAATGCCATCGATTTCTTGACATTAATTTTGTATCCTGCTACTTTGACAAATTCATTTATTAAGTCTAGTAAATTTTTTATGGAATCTTTGGGGTTTTCTACATGTAGTATCATGTCATCTGTGAATAATGACAGTTTCACTTCCTCCTTTCCAGTTTGGATCCCTTTTATTTTTTCTTCATGTCTGATTGCTGTGGCTAAGACTTCCATTACTATGTTAAATAAGAGTGGCTAAAGTAGGCATCCTTGTCTTGTTCCTGTTCTTAAGGGAAATGCTTTTAATTTTTGCCCATTGAATATGATGTTGGCTGTAGGTCTTTCATATATGGCCTTTATTATGTCGAGATATGATCCCTCTATTCCCACATTGCTGAGCGTTTTTATCAGAAATGGATGCTGGATTTTGTCAAAGGTTTTTTTCGGCATCTATTGATATGATCATGTGCTTTTTATTCTTCATTTTATTTATGTGGTGTATCACATTCATTGATTTGTGAATATTGTACCAGCCTTGTATCCCTTGGATGAATCCCACTTGGTCATGGTGAATAATTTTTTTGATGTATTGCTGGATCTGATTTACTAGTATTTTGTTCAGGATTTTGGCGTCTATGTTTATCAGGGATATTGGCCTGTAGTTTTCTTTCTTTGTAGTGTATTTTTCTGGTTTTGGAATTAGAATTATGCTGGCCTCATAAAACGAGTTTGGAAGTCTTCTTTCTTCTTGAATTTTTTGAAATAGTTTGAGGAGAATGGGTGTTAGTTCTTTTTTGAATGTTCGGTGAAACTCCCCCATGAAGCCATCTGGGCCTGGGCTTTTGTTTGACAGGAGAGTCTTGATTACCTCTTCAGTTTCCTTAGTTGTTATTGGTCTGTTCAAGTTTTCTCTCTCTTCCCGGTCCAGTTTTGGGAGACTATGTGTTTTTAGAAATTTCTCCATTTCGCTTAGATTGTCGAATTTGTTGCCATATGTTCATAGTAGTTGTTAACGATCTTTTTTATTTCTGTAGTGTCAGTTGTTACTTCTCTCCTTTCATTTCTGATTTTTTGTATTTGGGTTCTCTCTCTTTGTTTCTTGGTGAGTGTAGCTAAGGGTCCATCAATTTTGTTTATCTTTTCGAGAAACCAGCTCTTTGTTTCATCGATCCTTTGAATTGTTTTTTTGGACTCTATGTCATTTATTTCTGTTCTGATCTTTACTAATTTCCTTCCTTCTACTTGCTCTGGGGTTTTCTTTTTGTTTGCTTTCTAGTTCCTCAAGTTGTGAGGTTAGATAGTCTATTCGAGATTTTTCTTGTTTCTTGAGGTAGGCCTGTAGTGCTATGAACTTCCCTCTCAGAACTGCTTTTGCTGCATCCCATAGATTTTGTGTTGTTGTGTGTTCCTTTTCATTGGTTTGCAGGAAGTGTTTAATTTCTTCTTTGATCTCCTCGGTAATCCATTTGTTGTTTAATAACATG